GGGGGGGCAGCGGCGCTCCTCGCCGATCGGCAGGTCCGGAGGGGCTTTGGAGCGCCGCTGCTCCCCCCCCGGCGCCTAAGCCCCTTCGCTCGGGCCAGGGGCCGGCGGGGCCCTCCGCTGCCCGCCTCTGCCCCGCTTGCTGGGGGCCGGTAGCGGGAGAGGCGCGGCGAAGGCCAGGAGCTGGAAGGCGCCCTTGCCCTCCCGGGTCGGCCTTTCTTTCTTCCTTCCTCCTTCGCTCCATCCTTTCTTTTCCTTTCCATTCCATTCCTTCCTTCTCTTTCTGTTTCTTTCTTCCTCCTTCATTCCATCCTTTCCTCCCTTCTTCCTCCCTCCCTCCCTCCCTGCCCCCTTTCTTTCTTTCTTTCTTTCTTTCTTTCTTTCTTCCTATCTCCTTCCTTTCCTCTTTCCTTCTGTTCTTCCACCATTTTTTCCTTCCTATCTCATTTCTTTTCTTCTTTGTTCTTTCACCCTCCCTATTCTTTTTCTCTCCTTCCATCTTCTTTCTGCCCTCCCTCCCTTCCTTCTTTCTCTTTCTGTTCCTTTCTTTCTGCCTCCCTCCCTTCCTTCCCCCTCCCTTCTTCTTCCTTCCTTCCTTCCTTCCTTCTTCCTTCCTCTCTCCCTCCCTTTCTTTCTTCCTATCTCCTTCCTTTCCTCTTTCCTTCTGTTCTTCCACCCTTTTTTCCTTCCTATCTCATTTCTTTTCTTCTTTCCTTCGTTCTTTCACCCTCCCTATATTTTCTCTTTCTCTCCTTCCATCTTCTTTCCGCCCTCCCGCCCTCCCTTCTTTCTCTTTCTCTTCCTTTTCCTTCCTCCCTTCCTTCCTTCCCGGGCAAACCCTCTGCCGGGAGGGAGACCCGCTCGGCCTGATCCCCAGCCTTTCCGTTAGACGGGGAACCAGCGCGCCGCCTCAGTTCCCGGAGCGGGACAGCGGGGAGAGCGAAGGCCGGCGGGGTGCGGGGGGCGCTGGGCGAAGCGACGCAGAGCCCGGGGACTCCGCTTCCCATCGCTTCCAGGTGGCTGTGGATGACGGTCCTCGGCTCCCGGGCCGAGGGCCGCGCGCAGAGCGGCGGGCGGTCTCCTCCTTCGCGGCTGGAGCGGAGAAGGGGCGGCGGGGAGGGTCCGCCCGTCTTCCCTCTGCGGGCGGGCGGCGGGGCTGCCTTCCCGCCCGGAATTCCTTCGGCCTCTGCCCGCAGACCGACCGGCCCAGCCCGGCTCCGCGCTGCTTTGTACCCCGGAGCCGCGGGGGGCCTCCGAAGACACCCGTCCGCGCACGTCCGCACCGCTGGGGGGGGGCTCTCCGGAATTTGGCCGGGCATCAATCGAGCGAGCGAGCGAGCGGCGGGAAATGTTCCCTGGCTTCACAGAGCTCTCTCCGCCGGAGCCTCCGGGTTGGACGGGGCGGGGGGGAGGCGG